GCCCACCCTTCAGTTCTTGTAGCTTCCCAAGGCACGGCCTCCCCGGGGCAGGCTGCAGCATGGAAAAGGGGACACAGCAGCAATCCTCTGGGGGCTGCTAAAATCCCTCCTTTCGTCTTGGTTGGTGGATGGTTGTAGTGTCTTTGTGCATTGGTTTGCATGGGGGGTGGGAGAAGCTGTGCCGAGCGCGCCCCGCGGCAGGGTGGCTTGGTAGCAAGCTGAAGGCAGCTGGAGCAACGAATCCATGTGGCTTTTCGTGGGTCTGACAGCAGCACCTCCAGCCAGGCGGGGCGCAGCCAGTGTCCTGGAGCTCCGATAGAAAGTAGGGAACCCATCCCACCACCCAAATTGGGATCCCATCTCCTGCCCACCCTGTTGTCTGCAGACGGGAGGGAGGCTGCTGTGTCAGTGTGCCGTCTTGTGTTGCTGTTTAGTGGGAGATGCCTGGGATAATCCCTCCAAACTCTCCCAGGAGTGGAGGCGAGCTCTTTACTGGTGTGCTCAGCCCTCCCTGCACCCATTGGGACCCTTTTACAGTAACGTTCATGCTTGCTTTTCCCTCCCTCCTTCCAGTTGCAGACCAGACATTCCGGAAGCGCTTGCTGCCGCCCTGGTGCTCCTATCTGGCTCATGGCATCAGTCTCCTCCTCTTCGCCACTTCCACGGGGGTCTCGGTGTGGATCGGGGTGGGCTTTTCCTCCAGCGTTGCCCTCATGTGGCTCATCTCAGGGATATTCAGCTTTCTGGCATCCTTCTTGGTCTGGGAGCCCCTGAAGGTACGAGTGACACGAGTACACAAGCACGTACCTGCACACGTGTATGTATCGACTGTAATTAACGTCTTGTCCGGATACTACTCAAGTCATAGAGGATAGAGTTTGATTAGATATGAGGAAGACATTTTTTACATTGAGGGTGGGGAGGCACTGGACCAGGTTGCCCAGAGAAGTTGTGGCTGCCCCATCCCTGGAAGTGTTCAAGGCCAGGCTGGATGGGGCTTTGAGCAACCTGGTGTAGTGGAGGGTGTCCCTGCCCATGGCAGGGGGGGTTGGAACAGGATGGTCTTTGAGGTCCCTTCCAACCCAAAGCATTCTATGATAGTGGACACCGCGTGGATTGAATACTCTCCCATCTCCATATCCCTGCAGGAGAGGATGGATGTGCACAGCAGCAGCAGTGGGGGAGGCAGGGCTGGTGGCATTCTGCTTTAGAGGTTGTCTCACTGCTTCAGGAGGGCGCTCAGCGGCTGAGTGCCGCTCTCTGTGCTGCAGGGCCCACAGGAGCTGCTGCCCGTGGCAGTGCTGGTGGCACGGCTCTGCCCGCGGGCTCACGACACTGTGTCTCCCCAGGTCCTGCTGGAAGCCCTCTATTTCTCACTGGTTGCCAAGCGCTTGCACCCAGAGGAAGACGATACCTTGGTGGAGCATCCGTTTGTGGAGCATGTTTCTGAGAAGATCAGCAAAGTCCGACCCCCGCAAGGATTTGCCCTTTTCCAGGCCAAGGAGGAGGCCAGGAAGGTCAAACTGCTGCACAGGATGCTGAAGGTAAGACATCTCCTGCGGCCTGTGGTGCCTCAGCACAGAGCTGAGATACATCCCTGTGTGAGTCCTCCCAATCCAGCTGTGATCTCCTGAGCTAGTAGGTGCATGTCTTCAGTTTCTGCCTCAGTTTCTCCATCTGTAAAAGACTGACAGTGACATTCACCTTCTGTGTGAAGGTCTTGAGATCTGGGGTGGCTGGAAAGCAGAACCCTGAGGGGGTGGATTTGGAGCAGCTGGTGTGTTTGACTCCATCACTCAGGTGTTAGAGGTCAGGGCAAGGTTTGTGGTGTGGAGTAGGCACCACCTCGCACAAGAAAATTCATTAGTTGGGGCTTGTGCAACACCTAAGTCCCCATTTGGGAGCAGAAGTTTCGATCTTCTTTGTAGCTCATTCGGTGCTGATCCCTCGCACTGGGAATACGCAGCTGCTTTTAGAGTCGGGCTGTTTTTAACGGAGTCACTTCCGCACCTAAGTCCCCATTTAGGAGCAGAAGGTTCAATCTTCCTTGTATCTCATTCAGTGCTGATCCTCGCACTGGGAACACGCAGCTGCTTTAAGAGAGTCGGGCTGTTTTTAACGGAGTCACTTCCCTTTAAAGCGTGGCAACCCCCGAACTGTCGTGTGAGCCGAGCTGCCAACGTACAGCAGCTCATGCAGGGAGCTTGGGCAACGCATCAGCTGGCACATGTGGTGCCGGGCCGGCCGCTTCGAACAAAGAATATTGTTCCGAGTCCGTGGTCTGGGTTTCATTTTAAGCTGCTTCCCATATGGAAAAAGAAAGAAGAGCCCACTGGGGTCCCCACTGATCAGGGAAGCACTGATTTGCTGCAGGATTGAGAACCGGCCCCCTCCTCCTGCTCGGGTGCAATCCCTTTCTGCTCTCTGCTCGCCAGAATTTCCTCATCTACATGACGTTCTTGCTGGTGATCCTGCTCACCAACTACGGCGACGCCTCCCGCAACAGCAGGGCCTTCCTCTTGCAGAGCTCCATCAAGCAGCAGCTGGGCAGCAACGAGTTCCTCCGCATCAAGAGGTACCTGCAGAGGACCTGGGGGTGGGGATGGGACGAGGTGTTGCTTCGTGTCAGAGCAGCTGTGCGGGGTGCCAGCAGGGCGGGTGGGCTCGTGCCCCGCAGTCACTCCTGTAAGGGGTTCTTGACTCTATGGGGAGCACTGGTGCCTCTGGGGAGCAGGTCCCTTCTTGTCCCTGTGGTTCTGCTTCTCCCCTGGAAAACAGAGGGATCTGTGGGGGTTGAGAGCTTTAATTTCTTTGAATTTTAATTATTTCCTCCGTGGGAAGGGACTGTGTGCATTACAGATGTTTATCTTGCTGTATCTGGTTAAAAGGACACAAGTTTGCTCTGTCTCCAGAATGTACCACTGGAGGGTTCAGCCATAAACAGGGTCACGAGAACCAAAAATAACATCCCGTATAAATAGAGTCCTTCCCTTCCTTGCTCTGCACACATGGTTTAACTAGGTTAAATTTTCCCAGCTGAGTTTCCGCAGCGGCTGCCTGGGATTAACGGCGGCTTTGTGCCCCTCACTGCAGACCCCTCGGCCCGTCTGTGCCCGTCCGTGCCACGCAGAGCCACGGAAACTTCTGTCCACCACAGTGGGAATCGGGAAGGGTTCCAGTGAGCTGGGTGGAGTCTCTGGGGTGTAAAGGGGGAGAGCAGAGCAGGATCTGGTCCTCAGTATCATCCCTTCTGCACTGCGCTGCCACAGACCCACTGGTCCGATCCTCATCCGGGTGCTGAGGGATTCCATCACCTTTAGGTCTTACGAGTCAAACACCCACTGTCCTGACCCAGCCCAGCTCTTGGATCGGATGGCAGTCCTGCCTCTACCTGCTGGCTGGGCACTGGGGCAGAGCAGCCCCTGGTCGCTCTCCAAAACTCAGTTCTCCCCCCAGGTGAAACACAGACGTCCAGGTCGTGGGTGAGACACGCAGAGCGTGCCCTGGCCGAGCTGCCCAGTGAGCTTTGCCTCTCACACCTTTTCCCCGTTGCAGGTCGGATCAGTTCTGGGTCTGGATGTCACAGGTCTTCCTCCCGTACCTCTACAACAACCAGTCGGGTCAGGAGAGCTCCAGCACCACGCTGGGGGCTGCCCGGCTGCGCCAGCTCCGGCTGCAGCAGGGTAGGTGGGCAAAGGCCCGTGGCTCTGCGGTC